CTAGGTTTATCATTGATGCAATTCACTCCGGCTCTGATACACAGAGTACAGGGACGTTGAGGATCGCACTGGTCAATTCCGTTAGATGATGTAAAACAACACTGCCGGGCTTGAAATAATCGGCACGTAGGATTGGGCAGCCTACCTTCAACTTTTGCTTTCGACAGCGTTGACATGCGGCTGCAACCTTTCTCCTCGGTCTATTCGACTCCATGGGCATTGTATCCTCCGACCTGTTCATTGCTGAAAGTGGGCTCGATTTGATGCGGAAAATGTTGTTGACGTCTAGACGTGAGTCGGACGTTGTACAGGGCAGGTCAGAAAGTTCCACCGGAAAGAAAGTCTCAAGTCAGCAAGACGCTAGACCTCTTACGGTAATTCGTTCCGGTCGAGCATCTGACCAACACGCCGTTCCGAATAGGTGTCCAGCTGGCATTTCTACCCCAGCAAATGCAAGAACTTGGCCAAAATGGCTATTTATTATTATTCTCATTTTCTGTATGAGAGCTCCGAGACCCGGTCAATCCGTAGAGGAGACGTTGGTTGTAAATGTTTGCACCCTTCAAGACATCTCAACGGACATGACTTTTGGCCAACAGGCTAACTTCCACTCGTCATGTGGATGAGGCAAACTATCGCCAGAGGAAGTTGTCCGATTACCTGAAAGGCCTTGATTCAACACAACACGAAAGATGTTGAATTCAACGTAGCTAAATACCTCTCTATTTAGCATACATTTGTTCTTACATCAGGTGTAAGAAGTTGTTACACTATGGCGTGACTCAGTAGCCTCCCACCGATGGCCCGCTGATGGGCTTAAACTCTACCTCAGTCGGCTGATCCGTGATTCCACGCGCAACTGCAGCCTCCATGATTCCAGAGGTAGCAGTGGCACCAATTCGGGTGACCCCAAGCGACATGACGTGAAGCAGATCATCCAGCGTCCGAATGCCTCCAGCAGCCTTTACTTGGACCTCGGGCTTCGAGTGCTCCCTCATAAGCTTCAGATGCCGAACAGTGGCTCCTTTGTAAGTGTACAAGCCATTGGGCTGCTTCACAAAGCCGTACCCAGTCGAGGTCTTGACAAATGCGACGCCAACATCGGAACAGATTTCGCACAGTCGGATAATGTGCTCCTCTTGGAGATAGTCGTTCTCAAAAATAACTTTGAGTATTGCGCCATGCTTGACGACGACATCGTTGATTTGGCGAATCTCTTCAGCAACATAGGCCCACTCGCCACCGAGAACTTTGCCGATATTGACGACCATGTCAATCTCTTTGCCACCGGCGGCAGCCGCCTGGTTGGCTTCAAAGACCTTGACTTCGGTGGTACTGTTACCGTGTGGGAAGCCGATGACAGGGCAGACCAGCACGCCGCTACCCTGGAGTTCCTTTTTGGCGAGGGGAATCAGATACGGCTTCACGCATGCCGTGGCAACGCCGTACTTCTTGGAGATACGCAAGCCTTCTAGAATATCGGCGTCGGTCATGGTAGGGTGAAGTAGGGAGTGATCAATCATCTTGGCGACCTGCTGAAGGGTGACAGTGATGGTGTTGGTAGTTGGGGCGGCCATTTTTGTAGTTGAGTTGGATTCAAAGATCGAGATCAATGTTGGGAAAAGCGGTGCCAACGATGGAAGTTGAAAAGGAAGATGGCGATTGCGAAAAAAGTAACAGAGGCTCACCGGCTCGAGCTGTTGTCACGGATAGTATACAGACTTCTAGGAAATCTGAGCAGCAGCGTTTTATAGCCTTCAAAGAACGTTGCGTGGATGTAAATGTTCGAATGTAAGTTCCACAATTCGCTTTCCGCCGGAACGAGCCACCAAATCTGGCATCACCAGCTTAAGAGAGAAAATTTATGGACCTCATACCGAAACGTACTTACCACGCGCTTTCGGGGTCGCCGCGGTGGCATAGCTTCAACTTCCGGTGGATTCGAATACCACTTTGGGCTCATGACGACACGCACTTCTTTCCATTGTGCCTTTGTTTGCTTGGTAGCCTTCCTTTCCATCCCGGTTTGTTTCCCGGTCTGCATTTAGTGATGTCCCGGAGGACATGCGAAATATCCCTGATACCTTCAACTTCGCCAAGACTCCGAAATATTACCGTTCCTGGAGAGCATAATAAGCTACAGCAGAAGCCATACGTCGAGACTCAGACCAGTTTTGTCACTGTGAACATGGGCCACTGAAAGATAACAAACCCCATCCGACCCTTTTATGCGAACGCTTCCTTTCATGATAAGTAAGAGCACAGCTTTTTGGTGAACATTACTAAACGATTGCTTCATTCTCTGACACTCTCCAAACAAGTCTCTCGCCACTCACAGCCTTGTTCCGCAGGAGCACAATGGCATCTTGAGCCCGCTCCAGTAATGTGTCTCCTTCGACTATCCTTTGCGGGTTTGGCCTCACCACCTTTTGCTCCAGCAATGATGGTATTATCTCACATTGCATCTTCTCCTTGAAAAGTTTGTTCTGCATCAAACTTCGGTCAGTAACCAATGTATCCAAAAATCTTTCAAGGGAAGGATGGAATACCTTGAGATAGAAATGTGTTCTGACACCTTTCACGACAACACCTTCTTTCCATTGCCCTTCTGCGGGCTCCGTCATCTGATATACAGGAGCTTCGATCTCTGTCGGGTCTTTGATGACGACGGGGAGCATGACCGCAACCTTGGTGCCTCGGTCCGCCAAATGGGTAATGGGTCCGAGAGATCCTGACAAGTGTCCAATGCAATCAATAACATAGGGGACACCCTTGGGGCCTAGACGATCCCGGATGCTCTGGACGACGTGCTTATCTCGATAGTCGAAGCAAACCGTCGCGCCTAGCGAGGTGAGGTACTCGTGGTGTTTCCCGCTCGCAACCACAATGAGATTCTTGTACCCCCAGTGCCGGAACACCTCGATGGAGTACATGCCAACTGATCCGGATCCGCCCCACAACAGAATCGGCGCATCCGCTTCCGGGGGTATCCACCCTTCCGGGATAGGCCACGGGAGCGGCAGTCCGAGATCAACAGCGGCCTGGAAGACTGTAACGATGTTGTCGGGCACAGTCACGGCTTCTTGCATCGTCAGCCCCTTGGGCATCTTCCCCAGCAAGAAAGTGGGGACGGTGATGAGGGTTTGAGCAGCCTTTTCCTTGCCGTCCTTGTCGTCGCGGAATGAGTACCCCAGAACTTTGTCTCCGACTTCGAGGTCGACGTGGTGCGGCCCGGGCCCGACTAGGAGTACCGTCCCTGCAAAGGTGTCGCCCAGGATGCGGGGGAACATGTCGATCAACAAGCCGCCATCTGCTTGGTGCAGATGATAGGGCGTGGAGGAGGTCCATTCTACCTGGACAATGACCTCGCCGGCGTCGGGTGGATATGTGGGGGCATCGATGAGGATCAGAGGCTCTCTCGGAGCCTTGACTGCTACTGCTGGATGGATAGCCGGGATTTCGATTTCCATATTGGGCGTTTCTTTGTTTCCGCTCTTGTTCTCACTTTTGGAGATTCCCCCAAGAAGTTTCTTCAACGAGGATAAGGAGAGGAACCAGCTGGGGTTTTAGGTCGTAGAGAAGCTCGAAGATCAGGACCCACTGACGATCATACGGGGCGAATTCACAAGCCGAATGGTTCGTTCACAAGAGATGCAGATTTCTGCTGGAGAAAGATGGAAGAATCAGCTTTGGATTCTGCTCTTGGGTCAGGGGTCTGATGACAGCATCGTGCATGTCTAGTCCGTTTACTAGCAGCTGTCTTCGTCGCCCCTTACGATGATGGCAGCTCTGCGGGGGGAGGGGGGCTTACCAATCCTGGCTGGGCCCGTCGCCGTGGCAAAAACGCTTACGATCGTCTCAAGAATGTCGGGGCATTGTGGCATTTCCTCTGGTTTTTCCCGCTGTTGTCCGTGTGCAGCATCTGGCTCGTGCGCGTACACATTTATGCGTTGTTGCTCATGTTGAGATGAACGCCGCGGCGACGTATGCCACCGGTGCCGGGAGCCGGGTGGAATGTGCTTTCATAAACATTCGAGCCGTGGCCGGCCTTCTTCGGCGCCGAGAGAACGCCCCCGTCTGTCCAGTCCTACTTTGATCGACATGTCATTAAAGAATACCGCAGGCAGCAGGTTCTCTTCTCTGGCAGTTTCTCTTCCTTGGAATCATCAGTGAAAAGTGTGGACAGTTCCGGTCCGACGTCCCTAAGCGGAAGAAGTGTGACTCGGCGAGAACCGGCGAGAAACAAGACTGCCGATCCGGGTGCGTACTCCACTGTCCCCATAGTTCCGGGTTTAAACGTTGGGCTCACTGGCACACATTCCATTGGAGCAAAACTTGGCCAAAACTCGCAAAAGTGAATTCCAAGGGTTGAGAAGCGTCCTAGACATCCAATGCAAAAGATAATGATCAGTGGGAGGCTTGAACTCCCGGCCTTGGCATTACAGAACATTTCTGATGAAATATTAGTACCACGCTCTAACCAACTGAGCTAACCGACCAGTTGCTGTTGGAGATCCCGAAGCCCTAGGGTGTCTGGTATGGATCCACTGCGTGATTTTCGTTCAAAGTTGCGGCTCCACACAATCCAACGGAGAAGAATATTAAAATAGCACAGTCCATAGGCAGTACGAGGCAGTTGGCTTATCTGACCGTCAATCTTGATGCCTGGTATCGATACTGTATTGAGTTTGAGCTGATTGGCTTGGTGGCACATCAGCTCTTCAATGCTTTAACTTGGACACTTCACAATAGATTGCGGGTGTTGCCTACTGACAAGTCTGGCACGCCCCAGGCACATTGACCAAGGTAGTAATCCAATGATGACCATGTCTATGTCGTCAACCTGTCTATTGGTTGATGAGCCCATGCAGCAGTATGTGGCTACAGGCCGGTTTTGTTCAGGAAGTACATGTAACCCCCGATCAACGCGCGCAGCTTGAACCCAGAAGACCAAGATCACTCTTTCCAAAGGGCTAGCTGGGACTCTCAAGATCCAAAACTCAAGGCAGGCACTGGCTATAGTACTGATTCGAGACTTTGCAAGTTCCCTGAGAACAGGTCGTACCGCCAGTCCATCCTTGACCCCCGCATTGCCCATATAAATCCACAGTCTTGCCGCCGCTGCTTGACGGAGGAGAGCTCGATACAGGAGCGGAGCTGGGAACAGCAGGGGACCCATTGCCACTTCCAGAATTTCCAGAACCTGAACAGCTAAGGACCGGAGGGCCCGGGATCTTATATGAGCGGCCGCCGTTTGTTGGCTTGCCAGAATTATCGTAGATGTTGATAAGAATGCCTGGGTCGGTCACGGAGTAGGCGCCGGGAAACTTGACAGTATTGGAGCCCGCATTGGTGCCTGAGCCAGTCACTCGAATTCTAAAGCACTTTGTGTTAGGAGTCATCAACTCTCTCCAGACCTTATACGATGTGGTTCCAACTTACTGGGCGCATTCCATATAGAATTGGGCCTCTCCCTGTGTTGAGGCAGAGTGAAGGGCAATGATCTCAACGCGAAGTAGGTAGTCCCCAGGAGCTACACATGAGGGGAGAGTGAAGTAGTGCCAGCCATTGTTTGCTATCATGGTGTCAACCGCCCATGTACTTCCGCTCAGGCCGGCTTCGGCAATCTTGAACCAAGTGAGGCCCGTCGTGCCAGTGCTAGCAGCGTTGCTGACTTTGGCTAGGTAGACAACAATTGGGCCTGTTGAAACATCCGGGTCAGTACTTCTGTACATTCAGGATTCGAAAAGAACATAATGCGCCCAGAGAAAGTCGAGGCTCAGGGTCCCTCCCACCTTTATGGCTTGCCGCGATGGGATTATCGGCGTCGTTTGTGCCTTGAGCACCTCCGATGATGTGCCCCCACCAAGCACCGATCTTTGCACCAGCGGCGATGGACACAATATTGTTGTCCTTGTACTGGATGTTGTTGTTGCAGGCGAAACCGGCATCGTTGACATTCTGAATGGGGTTGTTGCTTGAAGGTGCTCGAACCCCCTTCAATGCTCCTTGGTCAACTCCATTGATGGAGAGCTTCTGGAAAATTGTATGCCCAGACACGACGGCAGCAAGGCCGAAGAAAACACTTGAGAGTCTCATGTTCAAAACTTTCGCGTCGTTGATCTCTGGTCGAAGCTTGGTATAGCGGTTAATCGATACCACATTCAAGCTCAATCTTTGGATGATTGGCCGTTCTTATAGACGCATATTGGAACTATGTCAAGCCTGCAATGGCCACATCCTCCGATTTGGTGGATATTGAAGGGAGATGCTCATTCCAAATGCATCATGTTGTTAAGTTTGGCGGCATCTCATGAGTCTCGAAGTCTCTTGCCTGGGTAATATATGCCATACAAGCCAGGGGGCGTGAGGCAGTGAGACTCGTCCGGGACTGCAACCGAGTTTTGGTAGCTGCGCTTATCCGCGAGGCCACAACGCCTTCTTTGTTCTAGCCCATGTCTTCGAATACCTCTTCTTGATTGCAATCTGAGGTTTGTATCCCTTGATGCGGCGAAGGGAGTTGTACCCTGGCAAGCATATTTGCTTCTTACAACCTCGCTTATATCGTTGGCAGCACTGGTCGATCCGCTCGGGCCCCGATCCACAAAGTCGGGACACCGGAAGACAAGCGAGTACCGGTACTTCTATCAGTGCTGAACACCTGTTGAGCATCGCTTAATTGTGGCTGTTAGAAACTGAGACTAGCGGCTTGCTGTCAAACTAAATTAACAGATGTCAGGAACCATCATGATGGATCGGACCCGCCACTGAATACGGTGATCGAGCTTTTGAACTTCACTTTCCATCAAATTCTCGAGTCTCTGCTCAGTTAAGAAGCTCTCTCGGATCTATTTAACCCTAATACTTTGACTCGCCTGCCTGCTGGGCGCAACGAGACTACCGTGGCCAACATCCACGAGCCAGGCAATGGAGTCACGCTGTCACAACGCTGATTTATGGATCAGCCATACGTAAAAGTATTTGCCATTGTGAACCATGTCTTTGACGAGGTGCTACAAATAAGATGACTTATGGGTGTCACGCTAGATGCCATCGGTCCTTGTCCTAAAGGGTCCTCTTTCGACTTCGTCATGGAGGCTGACCCGAACTACCTTCTTTCTCGGCATGGGGCTTTTCTCGATTCCATTTGCCCCACCCCGCTGTTATGACCGGCGCGAAGAGGGGCGCGATCGGTGACCGGCCGGCAGACGGAGATCACATTTTACGAAGAGGCCGAGAAGGCAAAAGTTCGAAAATGTGCAGTCTGGTCTGTGTTTCAGACTTGCTTCCTCGCGTGGAGCAACCAATGATTCCGATGCTCTCGGGCGCAGATGACTTCAGCGTCGAGAAAACGACGGGGATAGCCTAGACTGAGACGAGAGTCTACCGCCATTTCTCCAATGTTCAGTACCTGGTCAATGCTGGTATTAGAGTATGCCCTGACTCCCACATGGCTTTAGAACCTTGACCTCGAAATAAGCTTTACTCGCGTCTCTTGATATGTTTAGCAAGTTTGCCTACCCATTGATGATCTCCAGGATTACCACAACCAAACTAATCAGGAAAGCTGCTAGGTCTTCGAAAGTGAGTCGAATTAAGTTGTGGGCAAAATGCATAGTCCATGGGAGTAATCATCTACGGTACTTAGTAGCTTGCGAGACGTAGCTTCGCGATGCAGAGGGCCCCATTGTCATCAAGCCATCAGAAAGCCGCAGCCCCAATGAACGAGTTGCTGTTTAGGTGACGCTGATACCCGCCATTTTCCCTCAATGCTGGAGATCAAAGGCACTCAATTCACACTCCGGGAAGCGAGCACTCGAGAGGGTCTAGACCTTAGGTGCTGTCGATCTGATGAGCTGGCTATGGGGTACGTAATGAACTATCATCTTGGCACTCAATGGCTCTTTGTAAGACTCGCGGCTAGCTGGGCAGAATGTTGAACCGTGTCTTGTCTTGGAATGAACAAGATTAGTAGGATGCTGAAGCAAGCTAGGCCAACCCCTCTTGGTTGTGCTAGTCGTAGCCAGGAGGTGCCAGTCAACGTCTCGGAACGTCTGATCAGGCGGCTAAACGAGCTCGGAGCCTTCCCCGGCTTCACGGCATTGCGACACTAGTAAGTTGCCTATTGCGAGAAACGTTGTTCTTGTTCTTCGGATTCTGACATCTGACATCAATACAAATCACTAGCCATGTCCTCGGAATCGGTCCGCAAGTAGACACCCCGAGCAAGTGCTGACGTTGTTAGCTCAATATCGCTTCTGGACTAGCTCCGGCTCCCGCGTCTCGCTACATGAACTGGCGATCGTGGCTGCCGCGGCTTTGAATGTGTTTCTTTGTCGATGTCAGAATCGATGGCTTTCCGGGAACCCGGATACCTGGGTCGACTGCTGTTTGCAGCAGGTTTTCGGTCCAACAACGCTTTGTGATTTAGTCATCGGTTCATCCTCCTTGGTTTGGAGACTTTGTTCCGCCTGAAGGAAACGGCGCCAGGCCGAAGAAACTAAGTTTGCTTTCACCCAACCATGTAATCGGATGATGGGGAATGGGCTTACCCTCAGACACGCAGTTCTGCGACCTATCGCCTGTAGCTGCTCAGGTCCGTGAGACAATGTGCGTGATCCCGTCCTTCTTTCTAGAACAAGGTTTCAAGTTTTACTCTTTTCACTTACTGTCTGCTGTACCTACTATCCCCCTCTTTCTCCCCAAAACCATCAACCCATTTCTCGTCGTCCCTCATTACTGCACCCACGTTGGCAGAATACGACCGTATACGGGCATGTAATGTTTGTTCCTTGCCTCAATGATCGAATGACACCACGCCTGCGCGTATGATGTACTTGTTGTACAAAACGATAACCCGAGCGACGATACCACCGTTTCCCATACTACCGCGCGACGTCGACCCCTCTGACGATGTCGTCGATAACCACGACATTAGCGCCATAATAGTAGCAACAGTGGTTCCGACAACCATCATATCTACGTTATTCGCGTTTGCGCGGATGTACGTCAAGGGATGGATCCAGCGCCGGATTCAATATGACGATGGGATTCTCCTGGCAGCGGTGGTGGCGGGATGGACGGCGACTGGGACGACGCTGAAGGCTGTCGCGCTCGGCAATGGGAAACACGTTGGTATGCTCACTGATGAGCAGAAAGAAGAGACACTAAGGTGGACAATATTTTCATTTGGCTTTGGAATCATTGCGCTGGCTTTGCCGAAGCTCGCCGTAGTGGCGCTGATGAACCGACTACTCAACCCAAGACGACTTCACCGACTTTTTCTTTGGACACTGGGCTTGTTATGCTGCGTCGGATTGCTCGGAAATGTGATTGGGCTCTTTGCGGAGTGTCCGCAAGAAGCTGTGGTGAACATCACGTACACAAAAACCGCCTGTCTAGGCCCAGAGAGAGCGGTTGCATACTCAATATCAACGAGTGGTGGGTTTAGTTCTATCGAAATAGCGCTGGAAGTAGAGCGGATTGACTAACCAGCGTGACATATCTAGGCATATCCGCTGCTACGAATGCTTATCTCGCCATCTACGTGGCACTATCCGTTCGGAGGCTGAAGATTGCACGAAGAAAGAGGCTGGCTATCACGATTTCTCTTGTTCTGGGTCTACTGTAAGTCAAGCCGGGCACCGACATGCCTCTCTAGCACGACCTGGAGACTCTTGAAGCCGTATATGAGACAATGAAGATATCGGGAGCTAACTTTTACACCAGTGCATTGTTTACCGCCTTATTCAAGTGCACAAGACTAAAGTCCCTAGGAAGCCCCGACTTCACTTGTGAGTAGGACTCTACTTCTGATTAGCGTACGTGAGGGCTGATCATTGGATACAGACGACTCAGCGGACCTTGTAATATGGACGAGGTAAGGCATCGATGATACGACCCAAGAACTGTCTTGAAGAACGAGATAAAGGCTCAAAGATGTCTTGAGGTTCAAATCCAGGTAAATTAAAGATAGCTGACGTTGAACATAGTCTTGAGGCAGACGTCGTCATTATCGCCGCATGTATTCCAGCACTACAGCCTCTGGTCGATCATCTCTTCCCAGGGCACTTCTCAACGCCGATGCCATCTCCAACTATCCCGGCTTCACCGACCTCTACCGCCTCGAGAAGGAAGTTATGGCCTGGTCCCACATGCGGCGACCTTGAGGCCGCAAGAGATTTCAGCCTATCTCCACAGGGTCTTGAGATGATCATGATCGAGAAGGAATTTGAGATTGCCTACAGCAGAACTACAGTGAAGAGATCCTGCACATCCGACACATGGGTTTCGGAATTGCCGGATGAGGAGAAGTTCAGGATAGTAAAGGATCATGGGCCCGATGGGTCAATCACGACGACGGTGGTGGTGAGATCTGCAACTCGTCCACCGGATCATCCGGCTTTTCCGCCTCAATGACGGCACGGGTGATGACAGACAACGAAAGACCAATACCCTTATATGTACTTAATGATCAAAGTAGTGATTAGCTCACATTTATGTTAGAGTTGTGGCAATGAAACAAGTCGGGGTGCGACTTTCAGACGATATTCCCGTTTGACGTTCTCTTCTTCCTTAACAAAGTTCAGTCGCAACCAAAATCTCCTCTACAGCAACCTTACATGAAGTGTGCAACGACTGAGGCTGAAAAAGCTTACTGCGTGTAGTCGTTTTCACTGCCTAGAGTTGCGCCGCCCTACTCTGCATTATACGTTACTTGGACACTTACACATCAGTGTAGAGAATGAACCCGGGAATTTCCTCTCCGCAAACCATGTATGTCCAAGCTGCGCTAGGCAGGTAGTCGAAGAACGTTGCCAGGCGCGCCCCGTCCTCAGGTGCGAAAAGCGTCCTGTCCCGCTCGCGCTCTTCCGCAACTTTGGACGGCAGCGACCAAGCCAGGAAGTGGTCCCGTTCTTTCCCCGGCGGAAAAGCCCTGTCCAAAGTGTAAGTGACTGTATAAGAATCCGAAACCGAGGTTATCATGCTTTACTCACAGAGAATTACCGAGTGCTCCGTGACACAGACAAGGCTCTTTACGCAAAAGGCCCTCCTTCCAGATGAACTCTCTGCCTAGTTGAAGAGCTTTGCCAATTTTTCCCTTCAAGTCTGGGAAGAACTTCTCAAGGTGCACGAGCGAGAGAACAAATCCAGGCGCTCCATGGCAGAATTGAGTAAGACCCTCGTAGATAGTATTACTTGGGTCGTCTTTCGTCTCCCAATTACCATTTTCTCGCTGTACTTCAAGCATCCGCTCAAGTGAGCCCCGGATAATCGGGTTCTCCGCAAGCTTCGGGTCTGTCAGTATGAGTTGGGTCAAGATGCCAATGTCACCGTGGACGGCACCGATATAGCGCTTCCCGCGCCACGTCCATAAGGGCCCTGCGCCAAGTGTCTTTTCGACGATTCGGACTTTAGCGGTGTTAAGTTGCCTTGCCGTTCCCGGTCTCTGATGTATGCTGTTGTCAACTTCACGTTGAACATGAATAAAAACCCGCAAGTCGGACACGTACCGCGGACTCGACGGCGCGGATCATGTACAAGATACCAGCATAGCCGAAAAGCAGCTCATATGGATGGCCGTCTTCGTCGGCAAGCCTTTCTAGCACTTCTCGTAGCTTTGGCGCCTTTGATTCGTCCAGGATCGTCTGCACCGCCCAAAAGGCAGCGCTTTCGCATGCGAGGCCACAAGGCGCTGAATCTCCCGCTTCACGCTCGGCCGCGATATATGCGGCTGCCCAATGTTGGAGTGACTGACTCTGGATTCTGATTTCGGGATGAGACTCATGGACTCTAAGCAATAGATATGCCAAAGACGTCGGACCGCGGAAAAGGCCTCGACATTGTTCTTTCGTGTATACTTTCAGAGGGGGATGAGCTTGAATGATCTGTGTCAACAACTCTTTGACACGATCCTCTGGGTTCTCTTCGTGGCTGAACGAAGCATAACTCTCCAAAGAAGTTGGGGTTGGAATGAAGCGCGGCGTATCTGAAGACATGTCGATTTTAGATGCCTAGTAACTAAGTATACTTGTATGTAGACTTCTTCCAAGGTGCCTCCTTGATAGTTGTGCGCCGTTCAACTCTTTGTTGTGTTTGAAGAACTCTCCTCAACATGCATCGCAGTCCTTAATGGTAGTAGTGGCTGACTCTTTCAAGAAAATAAGTAACTTATCAGCTAGGCAGCAACGCGGGGATTCAGGAATGACGTCAAGCTCATGCATGTGTTTGTCAGCATTGCAGATAAGAGTAAACGTTGTCTGAAAAGTCGTGTCAAGCCTCGAATAAGTTGATAATTATCGACAGCCTTAAATTGAGGTTCAGTCTCATCGACTAAATGCGAGGACCCAACCTAGCAATAACTCCTCAGTGCCACATCTGCGCAGCAATTTGAGAATACTTGACTACACTAGGATATTTGGGGTTTAGACCAACCAACAGGCCATGTTATTCGAAATATCTGCACGGGAAACTTTGAGTTGTCACCGTCTTGCGGTGTCGCTCAATGTTCAGTGTAGTCACCAGACGCCAATCATCAATGATGCCTGCCTACTTGACTCGGCACGTCGTGAGTTGTGGTAGTATCCACGGTCAAGACAATTTGTATGCACTCTCTCCCCACGTCCTTTATAGAGTCATTCTTCGCTGACAAAAGTGTTTGCATACCTACTCCCCTATTTAAGGCAATGAAACATGGTTAGTGTTGAGTTTCCAGATATACATGTGGTACCCGGTTTGCTGGAGCCTTAGGGAAACAACAGCGTGGGGAACCCTTTCTGCCGGCAACCCCCTGAAGCCTCAATTAGGAATGAAATCAAAGCCTTCAAAATATAGTACCTCAAGTTGAGATGCCATGACGGTCTGTCATGACGGTCTCGATCAGTGATACATCCTCCCACCACTCATATAGCCACAGCGTTGATCACTTTGCTATGATTGTGGCTTTTTCAAAGTTCAAACGGTAAGGGTTCCATACCCGTAGCCCTTCACCGTTGCATTGGTATTATAGTCATCCTGAGAGGCTTAGTCGGGAACGGCTATGGCCCATGAGTTCCTCTTGAAAAATTCAAGACTCTCATGTTGCCGATGGTCCGCCCTCAAGTCTTGGCGTAGAATATTCATTGCCCTGTTTCATGCCCCTTTCTGTTTACTTGGTAGAGTGCCTCCGTTCTAATACAACTTCCGGCCCGTTTTGTTCTCCCTCTTTCCCGGGCTTTTTCAGGAAATCCCACCAATTGTCCATGCCTCTTTCTGATTCTGCGGTTCCACCAAGGGGTGCAGTGGATTGCCGGTGGGTGTCGCCAATTGCCGCAGGTTAATCAACTCAAGGGCATGATTGGCGACCGCAAGACTGTCATTAGTGGAGAATTGGCGGAAAACGGGGGCTGCCACGCGGGCGATTGATTAAACAACGGCGGAATTCTGCTTGTTGTCGATCCATCTGACACTTTAATCTTGATGTCTAAAACATGCGATTGATTTCGAGAAGGAGTCCCAAAAGACGTTTAAAGGTCTACGCTCGGAAGTTCGGCTTCGACCTCTGAGCAGTTTTGCGCACTTTGGTACCAACACAACTCCACGAACGGCATCACTCGTCCGGCTGTAATCCACAATGTTTTTCACGCACGCCATTATTGCAGCTCTAGCTACTAGTGTCCTGGGACATGGTGTTGTTCAGACCCCAGAGCCCAGAACGGTAGGCTCCGAGACCATGTGTGTCGCACACTGAAAGTTGGAGCTAACGAATTGGTTGCAGACTGGCGCCAAGCAGAAAGAGCTTTGCGGAGCAGCAGTGACCAAGAAGCTCGACAGCGACATCGCCGGTCCCATCGAAAACTCCCTTGCGGTGGCGGATGCCGACTACAAGTGCAACTTGTTCCAATGCCGTGGCTACCAGTACGAGGATAATGAGGACAACGTTCGCGTCGTCAAGGCCGGCGAAGTCATCCCTTTCCACATCGACCTTGTTGCTGGACACAGACCAGGACACGCTGTAAGCCAGGCCCTGCATATCAAGGAGAGAAGTGCATGTACTGACGTTGACAACAGAACATCTCCGTGATCGACCTTGCGAACAACACCATTATCGGCGAGCCGCTCATCTCGTGGTCTGACTGGCCCACCACCGACCCCGACCCGTTGGCCGACAGTAAGTGGATACAATAACCAGTTCAGTTGCGCGCGCTTCCTACTAACAAGCATGCAGCTGACTGGAACATCACCATTCCCGATACCCTTGCCTCCGCTTGCGACGTTGGTGGCAAGTGCGCGATCCAGTGGTTCTGGTACGCCGAGACGAACAAGCAGACTTACGAGAGCTGCATCGACTTCTACATTGGCGCGTAGGTTTAGATTGGTGTGAGAGACACCCCCGACGGTGCAAAGCACACTGACGACTTCATGTTGTACATATTTTCCCCACATACTGCACCTTCCATAGACCAGTAAATACAAGCAAAGAACTTTCGTGGATACCTTCATGTTCCTGAACGCGTGACTCAGTTCGCGCTGTGTCTAATTTTACAAGGTGGAATGAGGGAATCAAAGGCGGCAGAGCAAGGAATATGTTCTAGACTTCAATTATGCTTCCAGAAACCGGTCTTCTATCACGCGACTTCTGGTCCGAGACCATTCTGCAAAAATGTCGGAAGAACTTACAAAGTGCGGTGCAAAGGCCAGACTGAATCAAAAACTTCGAGTCAATTCCGGCCCGATTAAAGTCATCCGGCTATAGTCTAGCCCGCTTCTCGGTGATCCGCCGCTACAACGGACTCGTCTTCGGCCCGTAGTTAGCGCTGAGTGGGGTATAGGGGCCGTGGAAGACCTCGGTTTCAGCCAGCCCCGCACTCAAGATGCCGACAGAGCTGCCCGAGCTCAGGTACTCTCCATCAACAACAACAAGAAGTTCGAGAGACTGTCCACTTTATCCAAACATTTGCATCTGACCCTCAGTCGTCCATAACCCAGTTCTGACCTACCAGATTCCCATAGTACCTTGATCACGCACGACTGCTAGCCGAAATCATGTCCCAGGTACCATTCGCAGATCCACCATGGCTGAGAGGCTTGCCCTCACCATACTTCAACGATTCACATCGCAGATTTCAAGTCGCCTGCAGAAAGTTCCTCGACGAGAACTTGCATAAGGATGCTATGGAGTGGGAGACAGCGGAAGACGTACCAGCTGATTTATTCGCAAAGTTCGCCAAAGGAAACTTCCTAATTCCGGCATTGCCGGCGCCTTTACCCGTGGAATGGCTGCACAAGTTGGGTGTGACGCATATGCCTGGGGAGGTACCAGTAGAAGAATGGGACGCATTGCACACCATGATCTACTCAGATGAGGTGAATTGCCTTTCAACCTCTTTCTCCTAAGTAAGGCTGACAGGCTGGGATGCAGATGAGTCGTTCTGGGTTAGCTGGACCTCCGGGATCCTTGACCACTGGCATGGCATTCGGTGTTCCTCCTCTGCTGCACTATGCAAACGCGGAGGTACAGAATCGGTTTCTCCCTGACCTGCTGCTTGGAAGGAAAAGAACATGCATCGCGATCACTGAACCTGAGTACGTCGGCCATAGAGAACTTTCTGACCAATCCCACCTGCATCCTAGCTAATCTCGCCGGCTCAACGATCACAGTGCGGGATCAGACGTGGCCAACATCACTACTACGGCTGAGCTCAAAGGCAACGAGTACATCATCAACGGCGCCAAGAAGTGGATAACCAATGGCGTCATGGCAGACTTCGCAACCATAGCCGTTCGCACCGGTGGTGAAGGCTCAGGAGGGAAGGGCATCTCGCTACTTGTGGTGCCTCTTGCGAATCAACCCGGCGTGAGCAGGAGGCGCCTCAAAGTCGCTGGCCAAATTGTTGCCGGTACCTCGTATCTCGAGTTTGACGATGTCAGGGTGCCGCAGGAGAACCTGATCGGTAAAGAAAACGAGGGCATGAAGTATATCATGCACAACTTCAATCACGAGCGTATGTTCATCTCGGTGGGTGTTACGAGACAAGCTAGAGTGGCATTGAGCGCCGCATTTGAGTATTGTATGCAGCGTAGGGCGTTCGATAAGGTCTGTCTAAGTCAAGGATCCCCGAAAGCACTACGTTGAAGTTCATGACTAACTAGTAGTACTAAAGACCCTCATCGAACAACCAGTGGTCCGTCATCGGCTGGCCAAATGTGGAGCTATACTCGAGTCGCAGTATGCTTGGGTTGAATCTTTTGCATTCCAACTATCTAAGATGCCAAAGAAGACTGCAGACGAGGAGCTTGGTGGATTGACTGCCTTGTGCAAAGCCAATGCTGGCATTGTTCTCGACGAATGTGCGAGATGTGCTGTGCTGCTGTTCGGCGGCAATGGCTACACGCGTACGGGCAAGGGAGAGATTGCCGAAAGTGAGTGTCGCTACTTGCTAGCATACGAAGTTTTGAAGGAAGATAGGCTAACCTTGTCGCTTTCAGAAATTTACCGCGAGGTTCCTGGTGCGAGAATACCTGGTGGTAGCGAGGATGTCTTGCTAGACCTGGCTATTCGGCAATTGACGAAGCGTTTCCGTGCCGAGACCAAGAAGGATAAGACAAGGTCCAAGATCTAGATCGTCTAGTAGCCACCAAGAGAGACGCATGGTGGGATTAGAAATGCGTTAGTTCCGAGGGCGATATTCAAGATTGACGATTCTATCTCGGAACTACAATCGGAATGCAACTAATCTCTGGGCCTTCGGCAACCGATGACCAACTTGGATGAATTTTCTACATTAGTGCATCTTACACGAAGGCAGTCAAGTTCCCAGCTCGTCTCATCTGCGACTTCGACTAGGTCCTGGATGGGGCATCTCGGCGAGAAAGAAGAACATCGACAGTCCGAGTTTCCGCGAAACCACTAAACCGTTTTGGGATAAAAAGTGCGAGGTCAAACAACTCGACTGCGCAAATACAAGATGTCAAGAAACTGCAATGAGTCTTAGAGCCTGAAAACGCATTGCTTTACTTTAAAAAGTAAGAAGTAGTTTGTGACCCTCTTGCTTTTAATCATTGTTATCATATTCCCGAGATCATTGCACAGTCATACGAAGCATTTCAAAATGATCGCCTCCATAGAAGCCTCCGACTTCGTGCCTGTATCGGACTGGCCTACCCTGGAAGAGCTCGTAGCGGGCTTCCAGGAGCACATTATGCCCGCGTCTTCAAAACTTGCCGGACAGACATTCGATCACATTTTTGACATGGGCCTCCGTATCTCACACCAGTTCCACGATTCAGACACGCTCACTTGGAGAATTCTCGAAGGAGACCAAGCCGGCGTCACGGGTGATGCCGAGTACAAAGCATATGAAGTCCGAAGCGGCATCTACTTTGTTGACTTCTACAAACCCGACTATAAGGAACAAGTCAGCTTGATCCTCGACACTACGACAGGTCAGGCGATCGCCTGCGTCTCCGGCTTCAGCGACCAAACCAACGACCGCAGAACATGGACCAAGTTTTCAAACGCCACCAAGAACGAGGGCACCAATGTCAAAGCTTACGAAGCTACCGAGGAGCTCATCGGCAAGCACATTCTGTATCGCTACACCCCTCGCGATGCTTACGAGCACATCTATCTCAACAGAGGCACCCTCGCATGGCACTGCCTCAGCGGCACCGAGAAGGGCCTAGCAGACGCAGAGCTTTGCAAGATGCTGAAGCTCAGTGACAGCCTGTACCTGTTATTTTGGACGGAAACGATCATGCCCGTTGAGTCTGTGGTCGTTGTTGATTTGCGCGAAATGCGCTCAACCGGGCGATTTTTCTGTTGGGACCCCAAGCCCCAGCGTGAGGTCCATGTGCGATTTGGGTCGTATGCTACAATTCTAGCAGAGACTGACCCCAACAAGGTTCTTGCTAAGCCAGTCTTGCATGGAAGGCTGTGAGACAGAGAGCAATCTTCTAGGGGTATACAGATTTTAGTATAGTCAAGAAATCATTTCAGGCAAATATGATCAACACACTCTTCAAGTATCAGGCCTGGTCGGCGCTTGTCATCTGGTTCCTCGTTGCCCTTTGAGTCGTTCCTCCAGTCTGAACCATTTTTCTGAGTCCATGCTTCCCGCCGTGTTCAATGGCAGTCAGAGTTCTGAATTCTGTATAGTTCCGAGGTGGATGTTTTCAGATCATAAGTTGGTTCGATAGCGCGAGTAACTCTGCCAGCAGCGTTGAAGTTAGCATCCTCCACCTAAGGTCCCCATGACGTTAAGATAGGTCGCCCTAGAAGTCTGGAATCTAGAAAGGCACACAGGACTGCGGAAATTCACCGGCAATAATGACTGCCAGGTCTTCACTATTAGAGAGCCTCAACCAGCAGACAGCTGAGGCGTCTTGCAGGGGTTCGATATTAGTTTCTCGCGGCCTACGGGTAACTGGGAAAGAGGTACGGAATGCGTTGACTTCAGTCTTTCCGAGACAAGACACCTTGAAAGCGGCATCACAGCCAGTCCAGAATTTTGGTTCGCTTTAGTATTGTGGTAGTACATGTAGTTCTACCTTAGGTCGGAGGCGGGTCGCACATTCATGTGTTGTTATCTTCGCAATCCCCGCTCCGATCTCCTTTTTAGCTTGATTGCGGGGTGCATGATCCCTTGCAGCTCGCACTTTTATTCCATTTGGGGCGTAGCGTCGGTCGTCCACCACCATAGACACTATCATCTACCTGGCACGTCTAGAGAGTGTCAATCAGTGCGAAGATAAGCCACATTCCGAAAGAAAAACTACATGTAATTCGGTCAGCATCCTACATAGTTCCTGATATAAATGTTGCTCTGAAGAGAATGGCTTGCGACTGCTCATGTGACGTTACGAAACCTCTTGAAGCTGTTTTGAACCGCTACCCAACGCTACCATGACCTCAAAATCGGTTTCTGAGAAGCAAAGCATGCCGAGAGGCACGGGAGGGGAGGATCAAACACAGACCGGATATGCTCAAGAGGTTAAGGTAGGCATTTCTTTATCATTTGCGTACGTCGCATGTAGATGACCATGCTCATCTCAATGCAGCGAAACTTTTCACCCACAGCAATCCTAGCAACATGTGTATCATTGATGGCAACCTGGGAAGCTCTATGCAGGTATGAACTATCCTCAGTCTTGGTCCAGGCATATCTAATATCCGCTCCGGCAGCACCATGGCAACAGGGCTTATCAATGGAGGACCGGCCTCACTAGTTTATGGGGCCATCATTGCATTCATCGGATCTTTATGCTCCGCCATGTCTTTGGCAGAGCTGGCGTCTATGTAGGGATGCCCGGGCAGTCGCTCAACGAATCTCTTTGACCATTCGTATAGTCACCCTACAGCAGGAGGCCAGTATCACTTTGTCGCCTATTTAAGCCCCGGGAGGAGAGGACCGGTCAACAGCTGGTTTGCAGGATATATCACGTAAGAATGAGACTTCAAAGCAAAGCAACTCGTACACGAGCTTACTCGAACTGCTATGCAGTACTCTAGGATGGGTCGCGTTAGCCGGCAGCGCACCATTCCTCGCCGGGACCCAAATACAGGGCCTTCTCATACTCAACTACCCAGACTCGTATACTTCCGAGAGGTGGCATGGAACTCTGCTCTACTGGGCTATCTTGTTGGGATCTGCGCTAGTATGCATTTTCTGCAGTAACATTCTTCCGCTGCTGGAGAAGATTACCATGACGTTGCACGTCGGCTTCTACCTGGTCATCCTCATCGTAATGGCTGTGGTGTCGCCGACAAAGCACTCGGCTTCCTTCGTATTCGCGACATTCGAGAATAATTCGGGTTGGTCAAACGACGGTATAGCATGGTGTATAGGCCTCTTGAGCTGCTGCTACGTTTTGGCGGGATACGATGGGGCCACCCATCTCAGCGAAGAGATGGAGAACGCGCAGGTCGGCGTGCCTCGAGCAATGGTTGGCTGTGTGATCATTAACGGTGCTCTCGGCTTCACATTCTTGATCACGCTGTTGTTCTGCATGGGCGACATTGAATCGGCACTTAACTCGACAACCGGGTTTCCCATCATCCAGATTTTTTACAACATCACTGGATCTCTGGCGGCAGCCAATGCACTTACGGCTGCGGTGACGATCATGGCCATCGTATCGACGATTCCACTGATAACTTCTGCTGCGCGTGTAATGTGGGCTTTTGCAAGAGATCAAGGTAAGTGCATGTTCATACTCCTAGGTACGCTTTAAAAGCTAATCCCAGCACACTAGGACTTCCATTCTCCCGAGTCGTGTCCAAGGTCGAGCGGAAACGCGGGATTCCCACTAGTGCCATTGTCGTCACAACCTGTCTACTCGTTCTCCTTGGGCTCATCAACATCGGCTCTACAACGGCCTTCAATGCCATTCTCTCTCTCGCAGTTGTAAGCCTTCAAGCTTCATATTTATTCCCGATCATCCTCGTGCTGTGGTACAGAATCTTCTGTCCGGAGACTCTGGTATGGGGGCCTTGGCGCCTCGGACCGGCCGGAGTGGCAGTTAATGTGGCCGCCGTATGCTATCTGGTTTTCACATGCGTATTCCTCATTCTTCCTCCGTTTCAACCCGTTACCGCCCTCAACATGAACTACGCGCCAGTTGTTCTCGGTGCAGCTTTGCTATTCGGTTCAGTTTATTGGCTGTTACGGGCGAGGAAGTGGTATGTTGGGCCTCTGACGGAGTTGCATGTAATGAATGGCTGTGATACTGTCTGAGTCTAGCATTTGGTTTCTTGGTAGAAGAAAGTCAGAGTTTATTTCTTAAATCAACTATTACCATTGTTTTGAACTGAGCCAACTCCCATGATCCGGAAAGATACGTCCATTCTCCTGTCTCGGCCCAACGTGATTGGTTTACTCTCATGAAGTTCGCCCTTTTTGAGCAATGGAACCCCTCAGGTTTGCTAGTCATTACCAAGGATCAATGAAGCTGCAATGCCGTCCACAAGAGTCAAGGCAACGCCTGACCAATCGGATCATCATTGACAACATGTCTTTGACAACTTGTCTAGTAAGCCATCAATTTCTAGCACAGCCCATCTATTGCCCGAGCCCGAGTCGAGTCTGGTGCTGGTTGATAAGCCAGATTACCACAGCCAATCGGACAGCACTTGCGACGCGGAATTGGCGAGGCACTTATCAGTCCCAAAGCCCCGCCCCGCATGCTTGTTCGGCAGTGCAGGCATGCAGCACACACAGTCCCAGGAGATCCAACCTGTTCCTATCGACAACGTTGATCCTGTCAGTCAAGCTGTCGTATCATCATCCGGAATCGCGCGATCATGAGCAGCAGCTCATCTCAAAATTCCCGAAGAATCAAGTCCAGAAGTCAGTGCCAACAATCCTACTCTTCGGCTCTCGGGAGACTAACCTTCACCACGATCAGGTGGCTGCGTTCGCTGCAAGCGCCGAGTAAGCCGTCTACAATGTTCAATGAACTTGCATCACCTAATATTGGTAATTCTGAAAGAGAGTCAAATGTGACGAGGCGGAGCCTAGTTGTCTACGATGTGTAAAGTCAGGTGTCGATTGCCCAGGATATGCTAAAGCATTGAAATGGTCAACAAAATACGAGAGCTGCCCACGCACGTCTTTAAGTGTCAACAAATCTCATCGTAGCTCCCCTGGCTGGTTTGAGGAGGAGGTTCGGAACGTTTCGCGGGCGATTTCTCACATCTCACCCGAGCATCAGACAACTATTGAACCACGGACCATGTCGGCATCAAGATCCCGAGCGCAAGATTCTATCACGAGCTCTGTGGTCACGGTAATTCAGGGGGGAGTGCTTCTTGTTCAAGCTCCATCTTCGACAACTATATCCGACTACGAAGACCACAATCTTGTTGATGTCCAGTCACCTGTGAGCGTTTCAAACTTCATCAGAAGGGGTCCAGCTCCAGAAGATGCCACTTCATCGCCCATAGACATTGGCTACAATTGCGCATCAGAGTTCCATACCGATGGCATACTCTGTGAGGGATATGCTGACAGCACTCTACTCCTTTATGAACCTCTTGATCAGATCTCCCTCCTTTTGCACCATTACTTTTCGCTCGTTTGTCCAATAAGCTCGTCATTCGACTCCAGCCAGAGTCCTTTTCGATCAAACGTCCTGGAAATGATGGTAGGCTCACGCCTACTCTTTCTTTGCGTCATGAACATGTCCGCCTCCCACTTCCATAGAGACGACTGCACCTCGACCACGCCTCTAAGCTTCCAGACCGAGGCAATCTCCGAGATCTCAACAGAGCTGTGCAAGATCAACAATTCTGCAATGGTCAACTCTGGCGAGACGACCATTGACCAAACATTGTCTTTGTTGTCGTTACCGTATCCTGTGAAGGATGAAGTGCTGCTAGGCATAATCCTGCTCGGAATGACCTCGGTAAGCCCCATGCCCATTTCAAGGTGATCGAAGACAACTGACAGCAATGCCAAGAGTTGGCATAATCCCTCATCACTCGGCCTATTCCACATCCATGGGTCTCGACAGCTCTTTGAATCCTGGGCCAAATTTCAAGGACTGGACTGTCCTTCAAAGTTAATCATCATGACCCAGAGTCAAACTTTTCTCGTTTCATCGATGGTATACTGGGAAGTGCTCGTCTCTTTCCTTGTTGATCAACTGGCCGACTCACTTTCTTACCTTGATCCTTTCCTCGAAATCGACATGATACCCCCTTCATATGTCTGTCCCTGGACCGGTGTTGGGACTTCGGTGTTCATTTACTTGGCGAAAGTTGGTTCGCTTGTACGAAGGAAAAGATCACTCACGCGCGCCATGTTGTCAAACAAAATCAAAGCGTTCGAAAAAGTGGCGCAAGGGAATCTCCTTGACGAAGCTTCTTTGTTAGAAGATCAAATCCGCAGAAGCAAGCTCCCTAGGTTGTCATCCATTGAGGACACCGGCGATATCAAGGCTCCACCCATTCACTTCCTTCAACTTGCCCACTGTTACCAGCTGAGTGGCTGTTTGGAACTGTACCGCGCCTTTCCGGAGCTGGCCAAAGCTCGTCTGGAGTCGGATCCAGCAGTTCGTATACTTTGCGATGGGATAGACAGACCGTCACAGCTGTTACTGAAGCTTGCTTTTGACATCTTGAATACCCTCGAAACCATGCCGGACGACTCTCGGACCATCGCAACGCAGACTCTGGTATTCACTATCGCCGGCTCAGTACTTGGTAAAATCATGGTAGCGGATGAGGGCCAATTCACGTCAGAACAGTACACTTTTAATTGCAGTATCGAGCGATGGAGAAAATTTGTCCTCCAGAGATTGTCCCGGACCTACCAAATCATTGGCCTACACACCATACAGCGTGCCATGACCCTTCTTGTCAAGGTATGGTCGCGCATGGACGGGGGAGACATAGTGATTGATCCGGAATTGAGGATTGTCGACCATGTCCACTGGATAGATGTCATTGAGGAAGAAGGGCTGGAGACGCTCCTTGGTTGAGCTTTATCACACATTCGTTATGATAGTGCGGTCGCATGCATGCGCAGATCTATCGTTGCATGTGACTACAGAGAGTTGCAAAGAAGCATAAGTTCGGCTTCCGATCAAATCCCAGATATGCCCTTGATCTAATCGAAACAACAACAGAGTCATAGATACCTCCAAAAACTTTACCAAGTCCAAGTACCCTGTTATCGAAGAAAGTCAATTCTTTTTGAGTCACAAGTACGATACTCTAACAAGTCACAGTCGGGAAAAAACACGTTTTCTGAGGCATGGATTAGCAGCCTGGCAGCATAACAAAGTTGGTAACATCGGCTAGGAAGCCTGCAGACTGGAGATGATAAAGTACAGGCAACCTTAGCCTATGATAGGCCAGGTACATGCAACCATCTTCGTCTAATTTCCGAAGTCTCTCGGGAAATCCAGACTTTTCAGAAGAATCTTGGAAGACGAAAAAGACGTGACATTGCAAGCCGTTTCAATCTCTCCCTCCAATCCACGCACACGGGCTAATCTAACGTCTCACTTATGCCATCGCTTAGGTATTTACGAAATTGCGCCTTCAATCCCTACTAACGATGTCGAACCGTTTGCTTAATGATCTCGTCCAACCGATTGATGTTGTGGTGGCAGCATGTCTTAGCACTCTGTTAGTGGCTCATACGATATTACCAACAATTGGCTGCGTTTGTGAGGCCTAGCACTAGCAGAAAGGAACTTAAGTAAGCCACCGGCGAGCCTTTTCCAACGGCCTGGGCGGTCAATTGATGTAAGTAAGTGTCTTCAAGCCTCGATTGGCTCGCCACCTCGAAGCAGCATCCTCATCCGCCTCGTCCGTCAAGATCTCTGTTACGGGGAACGATGCCACCACCTCGCCCTAATACGAGATGCGAAATCACAATCAAATGTTTGTCGCGTGCGTCTTCTGCCAGCCTCGGTCCATTCATGGTGGATTCAGCCAGCCAGCTTATCACCTGCACATCAAATCACATCGCCAGGGTGTTGTCTACACCAACCCCTGTCACCAAGCTCCCAACTTGATATAGCGCGAGGCCAGCGCCTCTTCCTGGTCGGACCAGCGTCCAAGACTTGGGCAAAATGGCTCGTCCATCCCAACGGCCAAGTCAATCATCAGACAAACGATTCGTCCGCGCCCCAGGTCAAAAGCTTAAAAGAGCAACACCTGCGACTTTGCCGTACGCAGTAGTGCCAGGGCCCAAAGGATCAGCGCCATCCCCCCTCGGGCATCCCTGTCGATTCCCCCGCGTCTTGCCCCATATCGGAAGGCATCGCCGTCCCCAGACCCCCCGGGGTTGACTGCGGGGGAAAGTGGATGAGGAGAAGTCGGCCGAGTAAGATAGCGCAATGAAAGAATGACAACTACCTTGCCTTACTCAGTGAAAAATTTTGGTGCGCTGGAGTGTGTGTGTGTGTGTGTGCGCTGGTGTGGGTGACATCCCTCTCCACCTGCGTCGTATTAGTGATGATATTCCCATTTACGGCTCGACGGACATGACCTCATGCCGACCAGCCGCCAGTTGGGAGCACAGCAGCCCACATGTGAAAGCGAAAACCTGTGAGGGAAATTAGATAGCTCCCGAGGAAGCTAGCTGAGCTGCAACGTGCAGCTGAAGGAAGCCCAGGCTTGCTGGTCTAGAGCTCATGGCTTTGAGTTGTGGGTAGTGTTTATCGCGAGGTAGGTGACAAAAGAACAAACGTGATTGTCGGTTGTTGCCTTTTCTATGTCCCCGTTCCCACTCCCACCCTCTCCCCCATGCAGGGTTTTCCTACAGTCTCCCTCCACAAAGGAAGCTTGTTCCCCCATTCTCCCTTTCTCCTGCATGTATCCGGGCCACCCAGGAACGAATTGGACGCTCCATCTCCATGTTCAACAAGACTCCTTGAAGCACTCCTCGTTTCACCATCTCCCAATTCGACCAAACTTCACAATCGCTTAAACCAAACAGTACTCGGTCAAGAAGAGTACAGAAACATATCGTATCATATATCATGATGAAGAAGAACTTCACTCGTCTCGTCGCCGGCGCGGTGTTGCTGGCGGGCGGCGTGGCGGCGGCGGAAAACTGCGCGAGCGTCGCCGTCACAGCTATTCCTTCCTGCGCGCAAAGCTGTTTTCTCGACGGCGCGTCTTTTGTAGGATGCGATAGCCTCGATTTCTCATGTCAATGTGGACAAGAAGCGGCTCTATACGCCGCCATTGAGCCCTGTGTTGCGACGGGCTGTCCTGCCGCGTCGTTCCAGGCTGTTATCAACGGAGCTTCATCCGGTAAGTTCCTCCTTTCCCCATGAACATTCGATCATAAGTATCTATCATCATGACTTGTTGGTCATCATGCGGCAATCAATCTTTGTTGGACAGAAAGGCTGACAAGACCAAGTTTGTGGTTGTGTTGGCGCAGGTGCTGTTGGTGGTTCAACAGTATCCGGGTCCTTCGTCTCAGCCATCTCGGGCTCTTCGTTCGCTTCATCGCCTGCGACCGCAACAGCCACGGCGTCTGGAGGTGCTGGTGGTGGTTCAGCGTCTGCGTCGGCAACGCAAGGCGGTGGCGGCGGAGACACATGGAACCCCCTCCCGACGAGCCCTCCGTTCTCAACGTCGTCGCCCGTCAATGCTGCAGGTCGCCAGTCTGACTCAAGTCTCGCTATGCTCATCGCCTTTGTCGGAGTGGCGGTAGCTGCTGCGGTTGCACAATGAGTCGAACTTAGCTTGGAGGCAAGATCAATCTGGAAAGGATTGATGACTTCGCTGATAATGTTTTGGCCTGGCGGTGGATACCACGGCGGTCGGCTTTTTGCATCATTACTCCTTCTTCAGAACACCACTTTTACATCATGACTTATGGACGGATATACCCAGAGGCCGGCGACCTACATACTCAGCCCGACTCTTCTTCTACCGACGATCTCACGCGACACAGTCAATTCAAAGCCAGCTTTCTCACAGGAAAGTCAATGACCAGGGCGGGGCGCTCCCATCTTACAACTACACACGATCACTTAGGTCTGTGAGCCATACGTGGTCGTCTGTAGTTTGTATCTTGGATGGGGGCGCTGGTTTGGAGGACGACATTGTCGAAGATGGGGTTAGTTGTTTAATCCTAATTATAGAACATTTACGCATTGAGCTCGAGCTCGAGCAATCTAGTTGCTTGGCTGATGCCTATGCTTGAGCAGGTCAAATTTGATCACGGCGATGAACAATGATAAAATGACACTCCTTTGATAGTATCTCGCACTTACATCCGCGAAAGTCCGTCCTTGCTCACTCGTCGATCAATTTGAAATTCCTTGGCCTAAGCCGTCCCTGTGCCGATTTAGTTCGACATACAGACCTCATCAATCATGGGGTGGGGTGCAATTGTATTGGACGCATGAAGACCCCATAGCTGGATAAGAATTGTAACAAGGGCGTCCTCACTTTGTGAATCTTGGATCGATTAGTCCCTATATTGTACACTTACAAGTCAGATAACTCGTTGTGGAATGTCAATTGAAGGGCGACTTCATGTGGGCTGACAGTGGCGGGAATATTACATGGCAAGCTTTCCTCAAGCTAGGCAAAGGGCAGCCGTTGTTTTCTTGATGCTGGAGATAAGGATGGTAAAGACAGTTGTTTACATAAGTATGCTTATGAAGGGCCGCGACAGATCGGACTTGAGCAATTATATAGCTTGAGTTAGGATGACAAGCTCTCGTGTTTGCACGTTATAAAGACCAAGCATGCTAACCCTATGTGGGCAATTCAAACAAGCTTGACCACTCATGGGCCGGCGAAAGGGGTCGTATTGCTGCGAGGGCCTTCCAGCGGGCCGAGGCGACTAAGGTGACGACGGCTCTGTCAAAGATCCCCCGAAACTCCGTCTCTCTTAGTTCGGTCACTGGCAAAGCGTTCAGCTCTTGAGAGAATCTATCTACTCATCGACGTACCCATATATATATCTATGCCAATCTTCGAGTGCTGACAGCCTACGGAAAATTGAACCCAGTTGGATGGTCTCCAGTGGAATGATCCTCCGCAGTGTCTCGGCAATGTCTGAGTGATTTACTCGCTTTCTGCGTCACGGTTATAGGTCTAGAAACACGGGCTCTGAGTCTAAGCTTAGTGACATATCAGCGATCCGTTTTTGAGAAGCATGTCGGCAACGGAGACCGAACTCTAGCCAACAGAATGACAAACACCTCGCTCTTTGAAATGACCCCATCGAGTATTACCTTCAGGACGCAGAACTTTGAAAATGAAATGTTGACTAATCGCAAATTCGATGGTGATTTTGCCAGTAGCTTCTATATTTACCTCAGCTCTCCGAGACTTCCACTCAATTCAAGCCCGTAGGGCAGGTGGCTTGCTGTAAGACTGAGAGTTTGGCGTCCTCAAAGCGTTTTTCAAGCCTTTTTTTTCAGGGAAATTCATCAACTGGGGAGTCTGTCAAAGGCTGTTCAGGCGTGGGCCTATGGTCTCAAATCGGGAAGAAACTAACTCAGCTAAGTTGATATAAACATTTGTACTATTTTATACTTCTCACTACGAATGCGCTTTCCCCACGGGGTCAGATGCGAGATAACAAGCTCTATCCTCCATCTTACGCGATTGCCGGATGCACGGATGTCAAGTACAGATGCGGGGACGCGGGGTCGGGAAGAGCTTAGTATGTACTCGCACGGGGGAGCACTCTTACGGCCCGGAGCCGATCGGGGAGATTATAAGTCCAACGGAGGCCCCGCACATGCACCGACCGACATGGGGCTTTCGCATTCGCAAAGCTGCGTCCACATTGCGCCCGCCGGGGGTGTTGTTTTCCGGGCCCCGTATCGTCCTAGAGATCGTCGTCCGATCTCATGATCGCGTCTAAAGCGAGATCAACAGCCGAGGCAACTTGGAAAGCTAGGTCAATGCGTGGGGGCAATGGGGTTGTTCTTGAGACACTAGTATTCTCTCCGCACCCGCGGACGCCCGTAGGAGAGAGAGAGGTGAAGTC